GTTTTGAGTTTGAAAAACAAAAGGTTCCGGATGATTTCCAGATGGTATTTCACGACTTATAGAATTTTTCGTAGCCACTGCCTCAAATAATGCGTCCTATTCATTCGCGGGCTGAAACAAACAAGCACGTAACACAAGTAACGCCGCTTCTAGAATGCAGAATAGGCCTTTTCTCTTTTTATCTTGCTCTTTTCGGGTAAGTTGTGCTGTAAGACATTCAATTTCACTCGGATGATTAGCATGACTTAAATCTCGATGAATTAAAGAGATTAGTGTTGTGAAACCCCTAAAAAAATATTAATCTTAGGAAGGGACTTGTAAGAGATTGGACCATATAAAAAACTTATTACAGATTAGCGAAGGAGAACAAGCTGGGTAAAATTCTCGTTTATTGTCTCCCTGAGGATTATCACCGAGTTTTTTTTTTTTAATAGGGAGACGACAATACAGTGAGGCCAGGACCAATTCCATTTCCTCTAATGTCTTTCTTCTGAACTTGTAAATTACAAATTACAATTAGAGTTACTCTATCGATACTCCACCCAAAATCGACCGCGACGACTTAAGGATCAGAGTCACAACATGTAGAAATTACACCCAAAAAAGTGTTGCCACATGATATCAAGATGATTTTTTTGATACAGTACTGTACCCTTTTGGTATACTTGGGTGCTATGGTTCGTATTTCGGCGAGACATAGTCGACAGGTCAAGCAAGATGACCATAACGAGACCAAACGAGCCTTAAATACCTCGAAGCAAATTCAGGCAGAAACAGCCTACGAACGAAATTGATAGCTCTTCCTCACCGATACGACACACAATAATTCGTGATCTCGGGCGACACAACTCTAGTTTCAGGCGACATAACTTCAGGCGAGAATGTCCTCATTCTCTTGAGGGACAATCTTGATTTAGATCAAATACCTCTCGATTTGCTTTTGGCAGTTTCTACTACAGGTGACACCGATATCCAGCTGGGTTAACGTATTCCAATTAGGATTCTGGGCGGAGGGAGATATCTGCAGATTTCCAATCCTCTTTGAAGGATTTAGGTAGCCAAAGTCTCCGAAGAACTTTAAAAAGGGGTGGAATACCATAGCTACATTACAAAACTCAAATGCTGAGAAAAGCCAACGTCTGATTTATAGGTTTTAAACACGCCAGCGAAGTGACCTTCAGGAACATTCTGATCACTCTAAAGAGGATTTGGCAAATGCTGTTCTAAAGAAAATGTATGGTTTGAATACCCATCTGAGAGAGAGTTGGAAATTCATTGTATTGTACCAAAAGCTTAAGGAAAGTCAGAAGAAAATCCAGCAAATTTCACATTGCTCTTCTTGAAAGAAAGGTATGAGTTTTTTTGGAAGAATTCATTTATAATAAATACAATCTCCTAGAAATGTTTCTGTGCACCAAGTAAAATCCTCATATCTGTGAGAATTTGATTCAGGATATCATTTCCACCAGTCGAAAATTTGACGATCTTACAGGGAGGCTTCAAAAAGACTAGCAAGACTGAAATGGGTCAATAGTTAACAAAGAGATTCTGGTATCAGATTTGAATAGAGGTATAACATTAGCATCTTAAGCTCTTTGGGCACGACTCCTGAGGCTATGGATAAATTGAAAATATGTGCTAAAGGATCAATGTTTTGTTTTGTGACATCCTTACTAATATCGTTCAACACAGCAGCTGTGCCCAAGCGTAGGCTAGCACAGATCTTAATAATTTCTTGGTGATTTGTGGTCTAAAAAACACCGAATTAACTGCATCGTTTTTCAGAGAGCTGGGAAAAGATCTGCTGGAGGTTGGAATTTTTTCAGCTAAAGTTGGTCCAAGGCTGGTGAAAAAAGTCACCAAAACCATTTTTCAATTTAATAGAATTACCAATTTTATGATTAGTAATCTTAAATGCGCAAGGAAAGCAATTCGATTTAGGACGTTGGTTAAAAGTCATTAAGGATTCCTGGGGCGGATCCGGGACTCAGTCAAGGGGGTTTCGGGGAATTGTCTGCCGAAGGCTGACCCTTATGGCAGGTCCTGTGGCATGCTCGCCCCCGTGAGACTTTGAAAATAAGGTCTTTGGAAACATAATTCCCAACGTTCATCGGGATGATCTGGGGAGTTCAACCGAACTACCCCTGGATCCGCCCCAGGATCGTTCTCCATGTGTGGAATAAGTAAGTGGTCTGACACATCCGAAAATAATACGCCGCTATTACAAAAGCTTTTCAGATTGTTAATGAATATTTCGAGCAGCAAAGTTGCGGTATGCGAAGCGATTATTTTAGGGCGCGTAAATAGAGGGAAAAACATTTTTTAAGACATTACATCCAAAAATTTCGGTTAAGCGATGTTGTTCATGCTTCTTTATATCTAAATTCCAATCTTCTAACAGAATGCACAACGTATTGCATTTAGAAAGACATAAAACAAGTCCAACTAATTCATCACAGAACTCGCGCAGATGTGTGTGAGGGGTGTATAAATCACGCCTACGATTATATCTTTCTTCTTTTGTCAGACTAATTCAACAAATAACCCTTTTGCTATATTGTTGTCAAAGCCTAATTTGGGGCGGCATTTTAACTCAAAATCCACATTCAAAGATAAACCAACACCTCCCCCAGTACGAGTTTATATTATGCTCGTAGATAAAATTACAGCCTGGAATGTCACAAAGATGATCAGACTCTTTAAGCCATGTTTTAATGATTCTACTGTTTGAAACTCCAAATCCAAAGTCGAGAGCAAATTTATAACCCAATCAAAATTGCCTGAGAAGCGACGAGTCCTGGAATGTAGTAAAGACAAATGTTTCTCCGCTATCTCATCCACTAGTTCATCAAATGTATCCTCGATAAGATAATCACAAGGGCAAGATTAATAGAAATCATCAGATCATTATCTAAGAAAAAGTTAGCCGATCGTTTGCTTTAGAAATTGGTTTGACTCGAGGCTCTCTAAGTGATTAAGATCATACCTGATAACACCATTTAGCTGTTCATTACCTGAAGTTACACACTATTTTCCCCTTCCAAATGTTCAACTGATCATTAATTTCATCATTGAT